GGTTTATGGAGGAAAAACTACCTGAGCCACTGCAGAACCGTCCGGCCACCTGCTGTAAGCAAGGATCCTACACCTTTACCGTTGAGTTCAAGGACTTTCCCTGACCAATATCCTGAAATTCAAGGATCACTCAAGGAGGAAGTTGGGTGCTACAAATGAAGATATCAGTAAACAATTTATATACATAGTCAATAAAAAACACTACTGGCAAAGAAGTTTATGGATCAGAATCGATAAAAGAAAATTGATCAATTGTAAAGTGTATGTAGCATCAGTGTTTGAGAACCATTGAGAACCTACTAGCACTAAGTTGCTAACTGGTTAGCAAGATGCTTCCCACAAACCGGCCACAACCAAACTGGCTTGCGAACCTTCTGCTATGACAATCCCGCCCCCTTGATAATCGACCAATCACATTCACTTTATTCAGCTTTATGCAGCTCTGATGAAAATGTGCTATAATCTCGATATGCTTGTCGTGGCCATTAATTGTATTGAATAATGGATTAAAAGGAATTATGTAAAAAGTATGCAACTGTGGATCCACGCCGCATGTGAGCCGTGGTCGTCCTAAAATAGGTTGGGATGACAGCCAGCATGATCTGGAACCATGACTTTTCTTCGACCCTCAGCAAAGATGGCCCCCAGCTGGATTCCATGTGGGTGAACATCTCACATGGATATTCCATTATATAACCGTTTCCTAGCAACGTAAACATTGACCAACAGCTTCTTGTAGCAGTCATCCCAAAGGGAATCCATCTGGATATTCTGATGCTTTCTATCAGAATTCTTTGGTTTCTGGTTCTTAAAGAGTACCGTCACGTCTGAACATCTAATATGAGGAAGGTTCTTCTCTTCTGCCTTCAGTCAGCTGGCATGATGCTGCCACCACCATGCTTAAAAACAGGAGTTCCATGTAGGTTCCTCTTTCCTTCCTGACCCATTTCAGACATGGGCTCTACTGGATGATCCTCCAAGACAAAGGCCTGAAACTCAGACCTCCTCCCTGGATGAAGGATGCCTGAAAGCAGAGTTCAGGGCAGGAAACCCGCTAATTTCTGCCAATAGCTCTGCCATGATCCGTCAAATCTCAAAGCGTAAACACCCCAGTAGTTTGCTAATGCTGTAAAGGAACCACTGATTAATTAGCATAGCTGATAATAATTTCAACTACAAACATGTTTGTGTCTTGCAGGTACCAGTCCACGTTTTTTTGGATTTTTCCACCCTAGACTGCAGACATCTCAGTGAGGTTCTGGAGCTCTTTGTTCTGGACCTCATGGACACAAACGCCAACTACACAGAGAGGGAGGTGAAGGTAGGAGAAGCAGACGCAGAATCCCTTTGATTTCTTCTTTTTTCTGGATAAATCTAAAATGCCTTCAGTGGTTAATCGGATCCCTTCTGTGATTTTAAATACCTCATGTTTTTGGTAGAAGTTGCGTGCTGTGAAGCAGCATGATGGACGCCCTGACTCTTGTCTTACAGGCACAGGCCACCTCTGGAGGCAGAGTTACTGCCATTCCCTTCTGGTACCAGATCCACCTGGACCGGGACATCAGCCTGAACACCCTGAGCAGGACCTCCCACTGGAAGCAGGCCGCTGTGGTCCTGCAGGAGCCCCTGGAGGTCCAGGCTGGAGACTGGATCCGTCTGGCTGTGAAGCTCCATAAGAGCACCATCTCCATCTCTGCTCAGGTGGACATGGCTGCTGTTCAGATGGAATAGTCTCATGTAGGACCGGTTTAGACGGTTCTGGATCAGCGCTATGGAGGTAATTTATTGCCTTATAGTTTGCTTTAAAAATAAACTGAAAAAAATATCAATAGAAACACAAGAAATGATGAATTAAAACTGAAATTCTGTTTTAAATTGAAAGCAGAAGATTTTAAACAGACTGTGTGCTGTATGGAAGTAAATATGTGCCATCAGAATTTGAATAAAAAATACCTCTG